GCAAAATTGCTGCTGTAAAGTGAGAGCAAAGTATTTATGGTTGTGCAGGGATGGCTTTGGGTCCATGAGACACCCACGGATGTCCAGGGCTATTGCTTTGAGAATGGCTCTATCACATCAGAAAAAGAAAATCCTGCCTTTTTTGGCTAGACAGAAGGTAACAAGGATCTTAGAACATGTTTGAAAGTCATGTTTTTAAAGGAGAAATCTAGACATTCAATAACAAGTGATCCTATATTGTTAGGACAACTCAAATTCCATGTAGGCTTTTGGCTGATTGACAACTACCTTGGAAAGCTTCCAAGGCCAAAAATCAGTGATAAGAAATGACTTTGTCAACTCCACCGCTCAATTCAAGTACAAGGAATTAAACGTATCTGTCCCAACATAAGAATTCAATTTGTGGCATTGTAGGCTGATCAGTAAATCATCGTTGCAACCTTGGCACATTCTGTCCTCACCAAAGCCAATGGCTCCAGTGAGAACTTGTGTAAGAGAATGTTCTCAAAGTGGCTGAAGTTTGTTCAGCTTTACCATGAGAACTTGTGTAAGAGAATGTTCTCGAAGAAGTGGCTGAAGTTTGTTCAGCTTTACCTGAAAATGCAGTCTATGGTATAAGCACAAACACCCTGAGTGGGCAATGAACACAGCACGCGTCCATGACAAGAATAAAGCCAAAATGGCAGCTCATGTAAGTGGACAAGCCAAGACACTGACCTGGGCAGCAGCCCCTTCTGGGGTCTTTGGGTTGGTCTGCCAACATTATTTCATCCTTTTCTGAGTTCTCTATCAGCATGGCTGTGAAGGGGGTGACAATATGATGGTCAAGAGACATCTGTAGGATGGATTTGGTGATGTTCCTCTTCAAAGCTGCAGTGGGGGCCGTGTTTCTGAGTGGAAAATAAAACAGAAGACATGATGAGCCACTCCTCAGGCCAGTGCTGAGGAGAGCTGTGATGCTTGTTATGTCTCCATAGACCAGTCACAGAGACGAGCTGGAAGGATCAAGGTGTAATGAGAAGGAAAGGCTGAGGACTCGCATGAATGACTCTCCATGACTTCTGCAAGCTTTGGCCTGGACTCAGAGCCCAATCCCAACTCCTGATCTTGGTAGGAGATATTTTACTGCTTCAGTGAGGGTTCATCAGACTTCCTAAATATATTGGGCTTTATACTGACCCCTCCTTAACTTTTTTTCAGGCTCTGTGAGACAAATGTCTCATTTGTTTCATTCACTCAGAGTCACAAGCCACGTCTGTCTGACCCTTATTCCCCTAATCAAAGTCTTTCCATGCTATCTGCAAGTGCTAAGAATAGGAAAAGAGTGAAGGGCTGAAGATATCACTTGCCTTTATTTATATATGTTTACCTTACCCATGTGAAACCCTCTGAGAGACCTTATCTCCCTGTGGTCTCAGGGAGGACCAGATTGCTCTCAGGCTTCATTTGCCTCCCATGTTTCTCCTCACCTCTCTGCTAGCATCTGGTTGACAGTCAGATAAGCCCACAGTTTCCTGGTGAATTCAGGATCCGCATATCTGTCTTTCTTCATGAAACCATCCAGTTCTTCAACATCTCGCAGGGTTTCCATAACAAGCTCTGCATTTGCCTTTGCAGCAAACGAGAAAGATGAGGAGGGTGAGACAGGAGAATAGTGCAGCTCCACGTGCCCTTCCTGGCCAACACTTTGCATGGTTGGCATCGAGGACCTTCTCTGGATCTGTGCATGGTCAATTCTGGGTTCGAAAGTCCCAACACTGTTAACCCAGCAGGCATGGGGAGGGGAACTGTGGCAAGAGGGGCTTTGTTAAATACAATTTCAGTGACAGTGATAGATAAAGCAGACAGCAGTAGTAACTACCATGTCACAAGAAGCAGCAGCAATTATTCCTCTGCTCTTAACAAAGCTCTGATATCCTTCCTTCAGATTTTTCCATGTCCAAGCCCTACTGTGTAACAGGGGCCAAATTCTGCTTTCTCCTGTAGACTTTTGGACATCACTGGTAAGGAAGATTATTGAATATGTTTATTATTTCTTGTAGAAAATAATGAACTGCAAATCTTAAGCCCTTCAAAAGTCCAGAAAATTGTTTTTTTCCTCAGAAGCAAGGATTTGGTCCTCCCCATCCCACTCCACTTGGAAGATCAGTCCTGAGACACAGGAAAAATCTCACTGCACATGTTGCAAGGCAGAGTATACAAATATGGTGCTAGGACTTGTCCTACACCACCTGGAATGTCCCCCTGGCAGATTCAGCCAAGAGAGGAGCTATGTTAGAGGACCTCCCCTGTACCTCCACAAAACATGAAGGACTCCATAGTTTAGAGCAAAACTCTAACTTGCAATTCCATTTTGTATGGTGAAATTCTTATTCGAAGACAGTTCCTCTGCTTCAGAGCACAGGAGGTGACAATCCATAGCAGTACTTGAAGCTATCATGAAAAATCAATCGGTCAAACCCTCTACAACACTCCCCACTCTTTCACCTGGGGCAGACAAAATACTCTCCTGGCAATAACCAGCACTAAAGCAGCTGTGCACATGAATGTCTGTCTTCTTCAAGTATCCTAGAGAGTTTCACTCACTGCTGTAGCTGTGACGATGCTTTCCAAGTGCTGCAGGTTTTCCGTGTCGACCTTCCCAGCCACTATTATCTCTGAGCCACCAAAGTAGTTGTGGAAGCTGCTCTGGGTGACATCTGACACTGACTCCTGGGGGTAGTTGAACTGAATCTTCTTCAAGAGCGGAGTGGAGACTTGGTTGTAGAATTTCTGAGATGGGAAGAAAGAGAGAAGTGAGTCTCATACCTGAAGCAACCCTCCCATATGAGCCCCTGTTTCTGAAAGAAGAGCAGGTTGCAAAACTGGGAACCTTAATGGGCCAGAAGGATGCAGAAACCTTTATCTTTAGGCCTTAGCATGCCTTTATACGGGTACAGCAAGAAGGACTGGGCCAAGTCCTATGTAAGTCAAAGGATGTTCATAAACCCATGGGATCTTATGGAGAAATGGTCTTTTTCCTGGTCCTAAAAGGCTTGAAAACAGATAGATATATATGGGTCGAGATCTGTAAGCAGGTTGATCAGCTTTTGGTTGTTGTGTGAGACACACATAACTGCTTTCCACCTTTTTTTTTTTTTTTTCTAGGCTTGTGTCTCTTATGTTCACTCCTGTGCCAGAAACGTTTTTGACCTCATGGCTGATCTGAATGAGGATCTGCTCCAGCTCCGTTTAGTTTATGGGACCAAGGAATATAGAAGGAAAACAGGTACCCATTTTCCTTTACAAGCAGCTCCTTTCCCGGCACACGAGCCAGATGTGTTGTTATAACATGAGCTACTGATGAGCTCTTGTATTGGGAAAGAGGAAATCTGGGAGGTTTTCACAGGTGACAAAACCAGTGAATACAAACAGAATAAGAATATAAGTGTTTAGTCATCAGCAAATGTTGCTTATTGATTTGGATCTAGAACCTTCCATAATTTAACTCTTTCTTATGCTGGTAAAGTTTGGATTAGAATTTATCATTTAAATCCAAACCTTTTCTTAGGGCTGAAGTAGTCTGAGGCAAAATTAAGCCCAGAATTTTAGTTTGAAAGCTCTATTGTGTGGTTAGGTCTGTGTAACAGAATATAAAACCTACACAGAGCAGTACAGTAAATGCATATTATACATGCTGTAAAAATTGTAAGTAGGAGCTCTTGATTTAATGCATATGATTGCTATCTCACAGAACTCTCTGTCTTTGTGATCCCCCTGGGAACCTACAGTTGGTAGTGGAGTTACCCAAGCTTCACAGCTGTGAGCAGAACTGCACCCTCATTTTCAGAGGTGATGGGCCAGAAATGCACCTTCATTTGGGCGGAGGTCTCCTGATTTCCAAAAATCCTTTGGGCCATGCCACGGTTGTCGGTTGCGATTCTCTGCAGGAAATCGTAATCTACGTCAAACCCAATCCCAAGGCAGAATAGAGAGAATTCGTCCTTTATGCTCTGCTTCACATTCTTCTGGATTGTAGTCAGCTTTAGCTCACCTTGGAGACACACAAAAAGTGACATTCATCTGAGCAGCTGTGGAAGTCTCCTTCGGGATAAGGGGGTTCATGCCCTTGCAGTGTGTCTTGTTCTCTCTTATTTATAGCGGGAATCTAGACATATAGTTCAGATGTCTCCATTTGGCCAGATAAACTCTGCCTATAGTAGTATTCAGGCTTCTCCTGGATGGAAATTAACTAATTCTTTACAGTGAGGATGATTCCCTTGAGTTATTTAGCGGTATCTGTTGTGTATTCTTTGCATATCCATGGCTCTCATTAGCTTCCAGGAACAAAACAAATCCAGGAAGGAATTGTTTTACAATTGTAATGCATCTAGACTGCTTCCAAAATTACTCGTTCTGTGCACTAAGGGAAATACCTCCAAAATGGTTTTACTCTGTTTGTCATATCTAAGATCTCTGCCACCACTGAGACTATTAAAAATAAATAAATAATTAAAAAAACCACCACCAACAACAACAAAAAGACACTCAATAGTGGTTTCTCTTCTGAGTTGGCATCTTGCAGCAAGGATTACTTTTCGACCTGTACCAAGTCCTAGCAAAGTTCATTTTGCTGTTTTATTTTCCAGATTTACATTTTAAACTCGAGACTTATACATCTGTGTGGGCTGGGATCATTGGAAGAGGAAATTTTCTGTAAGATTGTTGTGATTACCTGTCGCAGTAATTACAGGAAATACATAACCTGCATAGCATAACATACTCATCTTTTAATAGACTCTCTATGAAGTCCCAGGCACTTATAGCACTTGGCAGAACAGTACAGACTTTGGAAAGCAGGATAACAGGTTTTGTTTTAAACTTACTCTCAGAGTACCTACATGTTGTATGAATTTCTCAGGTCAATTCCATTGGCCTTCCCATCTAAAGCAGATTCTTACCTACTGTTGGGTCTCCATCAGACACTAATACAATCATGGAGACTGAGTTGGGGTCCAACATCCCTAAGTTTTGGGCTTCATTCAGGATGAATGTGGCTCGGAGAAGAGCTTCATTGATATTTGTACCTGTTAAACACACAATGAAAAAAAACAGGTTTGATTCTTTTTGATTCTCTTTTTGAATATAGATCAGTTCTAAGATTCCAGCAGAATTAACCAGCATGAACAAAGGCAGCAAAAACTCTCTTCTGTGATGTTTCGGGTACATCTGCTAGCACTCTCTGGTTCTCTGAAGAAACAGAGGCTGAAAGGTGTTGCATGTGAGTCTTTGAGTTAAATAGACATTCTCTGTTTTTCTTCTTTTTTAGCTACATCGTTTACTAAAATCAGAAATTATCAGTAGTTGCATCAGTGTAAGTGGAAATAGACTGTAACCCATTTGCTCCTAGGTTTGTTCACCAGTCTGTTATTCTGTTCTTACCATGACGTTGAATGAAATATATGGATATACATTCATATGAATTTATGCACATTCATGTATACACACAGATGCATGTGTTTTCACAAAGTTACATTAAGAGGCCGGAGTCTGATAAACTTTTTCATTCTGGGATGTCATCTCCACCTAGGGACATCCTACTCCCATTAATCTCCATTTGCTCCTAGGTTTGTTCACCAGGCTGTTCTTACCGGAACGTTGAATGAAATATATGGATATACATTCATATGAATTTATGCACATTCATGTATACACACAGATGCATGTGTTTTCACAAAGTTACATTAAGAGGCCGGAGTCTGATAAACTTTTTCATTCTGGGATGTCATCTCCACCTAGGGACATCCTACTCCCATTAATCCCGTTTGTGGCACTGGAAACTATTTACTCTAGGGTGAAGAAGTAGGTTTGCAGGCAGACCATAGAAGGAGAGTGTGAAGAATCTTTCTTTTCTGAGACCATCTTAATTGAACATCTTAATTCTGGACATCTTAATTGAAAAAAAAAAAAAAGAAAAAAGGTTTTTGTGGTTACTGATCCTGAGATCTTAGTAAGTTCTGACACTTCAAGGTTTGACTTGTGGCACAGAAGGGACACAGTGAGATATGAGTATGAGAAGAATAGGAGCAGCGAGGTTGAGCTGGTGGAAGCTAATTTGCTTTGTTAAGAAAGAAAAACAAACAGTGGCTTCAGAGACAAGATAATCAACCTCTGTATTTCAGACCAGCTTTGCTGGATAGGAATAGGCCTCTGTCAATTCATTTGTGGAGGCATAAGCAAGTGGATATGAGGCTCTGCACTCATATCCCAGCCTGGGTTCCTACTTCCAGCAGGGTTTCTACTCCCAGTACACTGGTGATCTTGGCCAAGTCTCTGTATTAATCCAACCTCATGTGCTGACATTGAGAGTTTCTGCAGATGAAGGCTGCATCTGACTCTCTTACAGTGCAGAGCACCAGGAAAGCCTGATCTGGGGGAGAGCTTGTGTGCACTATTGGCAAACAAACAGCCGAACAACTGCACCCAGACTGCACTTCAGGCAGCCTGATCTGGGGGAGAGCCTGTGCACACTATTGGCAAACAAACAACTGCACCCAGACTGCACTTCAGGGAGCAATTGATTAAAATGATTGCTAGCCCCCTCTGTACAGCTCAGCACCTAACAAATGAATGGAGCCTCCAAGGACCTGTGAGACTGAAAAAAACAACTGTTCTTGTTTGCTAGATAGGAGAATGAAGGCATAAAAATGATGAACTGTTTGTCTAGGGTGACAGGTAATAGTAGATCATGGTGTAGTCTACAGTTTACAGCCCACAGAGACCCTAGAGTTGGGCTCTCTATGACACTTCAAAAAACAAAACAGGGCCCTGATCTTTAGTGAATATTTGGGGTCTGTGGGTCTGGAGGTAGGCCTAGAAATTAAAGGCAGTTGTGCTAAGATGCTATGGTTATGCAGAGGGACACAGCACTACAGACACCTTCTCATTTTTGGTATATGCTATCGTGGCAATGCTGGAAGCAAGAAGGGCCTACAGCTCTTTTCTCTCCTCCCTAAGTTCACATCTGTTACACCTTGTTCAGCAGAGCGAAACTCCTTTCAATTCCTTGGCATAACGAACTGGAATCCTTGCTTCCTTTTAGCCACAGGTCATGCTTTTCCCAGCAAGGGAACCAGGCTTTTAAAAAATATTCTGCCAATCTGAAGGGTGTCTGGGGTACTTATTCCCACGATGCCTAACTTTCAAGACCCCTTGCAATCAAATCCTCATACCACCATTGGGATGGATCGTCTGGATATACTTCTTTGCATCTTCCACTTGTGATGGTGTGGCTGAGACTAAATTATCTCTCCAACATCGAACATTGTGGTTGAAGTCGATAAGAGAGAACTGATCAGCAGCACGGAGCTCACTCAGTATTGCTTTCATGGCTTCAATGGTCTGAGAAAAGGAAACACAAGAACAGACAAGTTTAAGCTTTTTGTTGTTGAAAGCATCCTCTTAACGTGAGTACAAGAAAACAGTTGATGATGAACAAAATGAACATTGGAATCCAAATTAACATCTATAAGCCAGCTCTCTCATCCATAGAAAAGGAAAAAACAGTTCTACCTTCTTCAAAGAAGTATAGTTTGAAATGCAGTTAGCGAGAACAGAACTATAGAACTTCAACTCATCCTTGCTTAACATCCTTGGTCAGTTAACGTAGACAGCACGTGCAGGAGAGAGCGCGTGCACGACAGCACAGTCACTCCATGAGACGTCATGGTCCAGGAGAGAGGAATTATTACAGCACTCAGAAGTATTCCTGTCTGCAGTGCTGTCATTCTAGACTGGGTAACATCTGTTTCAAGATGTGCAATTTAAACAAGTGACAATTAGCCTGTGTTCCAGTTTTGCACAATTGATTTCCCCAAGGAAGCAGTCTGCCCTGGTATTGTGTTCTGAAACAAATTCAATATATAGAGATCACCCCAAACTAATGTTTGTCGATCCAGTTCCAAAAACCTCCAGTGAGACATGATCTGCAATCTACAATCTCCTGAACTCCCCACTCGGCACTGCAAAACTCTCTTTCTCTCTTCTTAGTATCTAATATATCTCATGCCTCTTCTGCTGTAAATCCATCTGATCCATTCCAATGCTATCCTTGGGGTGCATGAATGTCAGCCGATCACTTTTCCTTTTGGAACAACTTTCTGCATATCTGAAGGATGATTACACATTACTTAAAGGAATCTTTTGCAAAAAAAATTAATTAAATTTTTTCCCCTCTTGAGTTATGTTGTCTAAGCCACTCATTACTTTTCAGGCTGTCAACCATTTATCCACAACTTTTTGAAAGCGGGGATGTAGTACTCCCAACTGAAATTTCCTCAGCACTTAGTAGAGGGCACTCCAGAAAAATGGGGTCAGGGCCTTTGCGAAATGCTCTGTGATCTGTCATTTTAAAATGTTGCTTAAGAGCTAAAATTATTATTCTGATGACATCATCTCTTCCTTATAACATGGAATGAGCATTGTAAATAAAGTGCAAAAATCGCGATGTCCTTCATTCACTTTGTTTCCTTCATTCATGGAAACAAGTGTCAGGACCTAATCTGCTGTTTTTGGCTGCTGGTCTGCCACACAGTTACATGATAAAACACATGGGGAAAACTTGGACGCAGGTTCTTTTTCCTATAGAGGTCACACACTTACTTGTTTCATTTTCAGTCCCCACATTGATCCGCTGACATCTATAACAAATAAAATGTTTTTGGGCAGAGGATCAAGGTTTTCCGGAGCAAAGAAATGAACAAAATAGCCATTAAAAATCTGCAAAATAAAATAATAATAATAATAAACAATCAAACAAACACACAGAAAACTGGGCCATGGTAAAGATTTCAGGGAATGCAAGACAATAACAGAAGAGAAAATGCTATTCTTCTTTATGGGCTGGATCTGACTTTCAGCTCTGCAGGTCCCTGTATTTGTAGCCTAACACCATCCATACTTCATAGTCTTTGCTTTCTATCAGGGAGAGTAGAAGCTAATTTTTGGAGAAATGCCATGCGCTGGCATTGGAATTAATGACAATATTAAAAAAAAATGTGGCTATAATAATTCGACCCATAACTCTGCTTCAAGTTAACATTAAAACAATGATGTTCTGGTTTGTCTTCTTATGATATATTGGTATAAGTTTCAAAGACTCTGTCTTGTGATTCAACATTAAGTTACTAGAGTGGTGTTAAGTATAAAAAAAATTGGCTTGTGGATAAGGCGGGAAACTACTCCTTCTGCCTCGTTAAGTGCATTATTTATACAGTGATGAAATTCAGCAGATTGTTTATGGGCAGCAATTCCTGCATTCACAGACCTCCCTTCCTGGTTAAACAGCAATACTTACTTCCAGCTCTCCACCCGTGGTTTCTCTGTTCACATCATATTGCACGACAAAGTTCCCATCTACAGCTGTAGAAGAGCACGTGGGGCATTTTCGCTGTTGAGCCATCGTTGGCTTGAAAGAAACATGAGCCTTGAAAAGAGAAATGATAGTCAGTCAAATGTGGGAAAGGGGGACCACTGAAACAAAAGTGGTTCCTCTATTTATGTAATATCTTGTTTCACTGAGAGCTCTTCTGATTTCTTTATTTTTAATTTAAATGAGAAATGGATTTTGCTGCTTCAAAACAAAAAGGGCACTGAGGCTTGTGTGGGTTTACTGATTTAATAATACTCACTGTGACAAAAATAGTGTGACACGTACCTAGAGACATACATATTTCAGAGCTAGGTGAGTGGTTTATAGTAAGAAATAATATATTAGCTTAATTAACACTTAACTTTTAAAAGTTACCTTTTTCTCTCCCTTGGAGATGGTAGTGATTCCATCAAAATGGTCTCCGAGTGAATTAGGAGCATGCACATAGCGAATTCCCTGTGGCTCAACAATGCGGACATCCACCTAAAGGAGGGGAGAACACTTAGCATGAAGCAGTGCCACAACTACAGGACCTCATTAACTGTCCAAAAGGAAATTGAAGACAGATGGTGGGATGCTTTTAAGAATGCTCCTGTAGGACTAGTCTTGTTCGTGGTGGGAATCCATGCAATTTTGGAAGCAGATCACAATGGAAAGACAAAAGAAAGAAAAAGTGCCTCCCCAAAATAAGAATTTGGTGGAAATGCTCTTCCTTCTTTCTCCTCCCTCCTCCTGAGGCAGGTGGAGAAAAGGAATCAAGGGTGACACCATCATTTATGTTGAAAGCATGAATGAAGGGTGAAGTGACTCTGTCTAAGTGCTGTTACAGTACTGAGGCCAGTAGCACTGTATTCTGTTTCTGTTGATGTTCACCTTTGGATGAGTGTAAGAAAGAAGATAAGTATAAGACAAATCAATTTCTGTCAATTAGTTTTGTAGGGACTACCATTCAGAGAACATCTACTCCCATAGGACAATGTCTATGCAGCTGAGATTATTATGAGAAGCCTTATTCCAAATAAAGAGCAAATCGTGCACACCTTTCTTCAGTCAAGGCAAGTCCACACACAGGTATAAATGGCAAGTGTGTTTTTGTCTAGGTGGTTTTGATGAGGATCAGCTTTAAGTCAGAAAATTCTTCTACCATGTCACTGCAAGGGGAGGACTTATTTAGGGCTCACTGATGGAGCTATATAGCTCCTAGTTTGAAGTGTCTTGTGCTGGTCAGCACTTTTAGGCTATTTGTACCAAACCCCCACAAAAGGATGGAGTCGTAGGGGCTCACAGGACTTTTAAGTTTCTTTTCAGAGAGGATTCATACACCAAATCCATCCTACCTCCATGTGCTTCGCCAAGCGTCCTGGCTTCACAGAGATGGTGTGCTCATAGGAGCTCAGTTTCCTTCGAATCATTTCTTGGTAATGGAGTTCGAACTGAATCTTTGTCCCAGGGGGCACATTCACTTCAGTTTTGAAGTTTTCCATATCCATTGTATTGCTCCTGAAAAGTTAGCACTGGAGTTATTTTGAGAAAGTACAAAGAGAAGGGGAAATTCTTTGCATTTTCTTTTAGAGTTATATATTTACTGAGATTCTAACTGTGGCCTGTGCCAGGTAGTTGCAGATTATTAGCACAATATTAGCACGATATTTGTCAAGCTGAGAGCAGGAAGACAAGTCAAGTCCTTGATAATTAAACATCGTGTTTGCTGAAGTGACTAAAGTCTGTCTCTCCCATCTACTTTTTTTGCAAAGTCCCCCTCTTCTGTCTTCTTCTGGGATGGATTGGTTCACTCCTCCCAGGAAAAAGTTCAATACAAGATCCAAATGCCTAAATCTTTGTACCTTACTATTCCAGCAGCTTTGCCTTTGGCTTTTGCTTGAGAATACATTCTTCTAGCTTCAGATTTTTCTCGTATTGAGCTAGTAAATGTTATACCATTTACATCCCTAGGAGAGAGAAGCACAGTCAGTTTGTGAAAGCAACAAATTTACAGTTAGCATCTGCTTCCTTGTTTTAGAAGAACATTGGTGAGATCTAACCTTTTTATAGCCTTTTTATATAGATGGGAATTTAAATAATAAGGCTCTCATTTAATCCCAAAGTAATGAAGCCTGGTTTCCAGCAGATCTTCATATCTGTCCCTATCTACTCTTCTATTTCATGCTGCCAGCAGGCTTGTACTCTTATAGAGAATCTGCTCTTCTCCACCTCCTTTCCAATTTCCCCATCTTTTGGGTAGGTGGGTAGTGACTCGTGTCATGGCTATTTTGAAACCATACCTGTGCTGATTGATAGATCACTGTGTGGTTTGCTGAAGCCTCTCTGAATGGATACTGCACCAGGCTAAAGTCTGTTTCTGTTTAGTGAGGGCTCAAATTTGGAACTTTCTCTCCTTTGATCTGGTGCCAATTTGCACAGTTCAGGTCAGTCTATTAGAGACTTCCATTCTTTTGTCAACTTTTCTTAACATTGGCCAAGGGCCCAGAAATAACCATGGAGGAAGAGAGAGACAGACAGACAGTAAAATGAAACAAACATTTTTTTTTCCTCAAGAAAAAAATATCAGGAGGTGTTTTGCTTTTATGAACAATTCCCTCCCACCACATTCTTCCTTCTTACTGAGACAACTAGAACACAAGGCTGATGTCTGCCCACTACTCACATAGTAAAGCTGTCAATAAAAGCTCCTTTGGGGACTTGCACATCAAACACTATGTGCTGGGACCGTTTTGCGTTATTCACCATTTTGGCTTGGATCATTGTGTTGGCCAACCGTGACGTTATAGTGGACTGAACTTTGTAGCTGTAAAGACCTATCTTGTCATCGTCTTCCACCTGTAATGGACAGAATAACTCAATTCAGGATGCATCTCACATTACATTACAACATGTTAGCTGAAAGGCAGGAATCTTTTGAACTGGAATGTCTTCATTGCTTTGAATCATGTAACCAGTCTTGTAATGACTCTGTCAGGTGTAACTCAGCACGAAGGGGTTGTACAGTAATTCCTCAACATGAAATATGTTGAGAAGAAGAAAGCTCATCTTTTGAACAGAGGTTCTAAATAAAGGAGAGTGGACCTATGCAGTAGATGTTTAAAACATGGCAGGGGGAGAATGATATTAAACTGGTATATTACAATTTTGCCTTTGCCTGATCTGTTTTGTTGCTTATTTCTTTGTATGTGGCATACCCTCCTCCCTCCAAAAGCAGCTGTATAAACAGCATTGTGCAAACAGTTGTCTGTTTAAAGAAAATAGGTTAATACCTGACCAGTGGTATAAACAAGGAACTGAACAAACAAAAGGATTGATTTCCGAAAAATGGTTAACCAGAAAATCACTTAGTTCAGTACTTTTCTTCCACAAAGGAGAAAACTCACCAGATCTCCAACATACCCCCAGTCGGATGTGCTTCGCTGGAAAAGAAAAACACAAAGAATATATTTCAGTAAAGCAGAGAACTCAGACTGTAGCTATTTTGACCTAGGGATCAGACAGGGATAACTACCTAAAAACTGCTTTTCAAGATCATCGGAATCAGTTTGAATTCTCAGGCTTTGTGTCTGGATTCCTTTTGCTTTGTTTCATGTATTTATACATGGGATGTTGGAGCACATGATCTCCAACTGTGACTTAGAGACTATCAAAAACAAAAGGATGGTTCTCTGTCTTCCTTTTTTTTTCTGTTCAAGAACAAAAATATTCTTACTTAAAAAGCAAAGCATGTTGGAAAAAAGTCATACTCAAAAACCTTATTTTTGACACAATTTTCATTTTTCTAGGAAAAGTGGAATGTCTCAAAAAATAGACCTTTTTAGCTTGTTTTGTTTTTATCTTTTTGCTTTTTTTTTTTTTTTATCTAATTTATATTATGGCATTGTATACAATATACATTTATACTATTATTTTTTGTGTAATTAATATTATTACATATAAATGCTAATATATATTTAACCTGCACAGTTACTCTTCTGCTTAGAACGGCTGAAACAATGGTAACTGAGTGCTTTTTTTACTGCCATACAAATGCTCCTATTTAGAATTTATACACA